ACAGAGGACTACAACCAGCATGCAGTCCTGCACCCACTCTATAAGGTTCAATTCGGTGCTTATTTCTAATGACAAATAAATCATATACTGCAGACAGCTTCTCTTGCAGCCAAAAGCAACAGGGAGTGAATGACCACCATGAACTGGTTGTCCAAAATAAATTTTGCTTATTTGCAGCAGTGAAAGACAGCTGTCTGACTGCAGAAAGTACTGTGAGAGTACACAATTACAAAGTACACTTGAAGAGGGAAAGCTGATACAGCCATGCCTCCCTGCTGACATATGAAAATAGGCAAAACAAAGAGCTGAATGCTCAGGACACTACAGCTGCTGGACATGAACCCTTCCCACACAATATTAATCTCTCCATATTCAGCAGTCTCCAGTGCCTTGACTTACAAAGCCACACACAACTTCCTTCCCACACTTAAGAGCAAACAAACTATTTTTGCTGCAATAAATTTGTGTGCATGAATTTATACAAGTGCCTTTGTGCTACACTGGCACAGGATCTTTAAGAAAGACCACCTAAAGATCCAATGGCTGTCACACAACTGTCCCCTCATTTCAAAACCCAGTTATGCAGCAGTATTTTAACTTCCATCTTAATTATTGTCTCTTGCAGCAGGAAAAGCAAGGTACAAACATTACTGTGGTATCAGAAGGGGTGTTTTTAACTCATGCTGTAAAATAATTTTAAAATGTTGTTTCACAGTTTATCAAGTTGCTCTAAGGACAGACACATTGCTGTCAAAATGAGAATGCTAGCCCTTACTGCCATCACCTGCCTTGCATCAGTTCTAGGAATGACATGACTGCAGAGGGAGGCAGAGCAGCCTGCTGGGCACCATGAAAATTCAACAGCCAGAATAAAATAAACCTCTCTTACCTCCCCTAAAAGTACAGCTTTTGGAGAAGTGAGAAGAACTGTGGAGGACTTACTAAATGTAAATTGTTTGAAATTTTTGCAACTACATCTATCAATACAGACAATATAAAAGAACAAAAGGAAAAATTCAATGATTTTTCATCCAATCACAAGCATTTTAGTAGGGGTGTGTAATTTTAAAATATTTCTACAATATGTGCCAGGAAAAATGGTTTTAAAAAATCCTGTCCCTTTCTGCTGGTTTCTACACCCAGGTTGCAACCACACATCTTGATCTGTTAATGCAAGGGTTGTAACACCTTGCTATGAATTTGTTAACAAAATAATTTCATTCTTAAAAATGATCCTTCACTTTAAGTGAAGGCAAATTATGCTACCAAACAACTTCTCAAGTAACTGGTTCATCACAAACTGGACAGAAACCAATACCACACACTTCACTATGATAAGAAGCAGTGTTTGGTGGGCTTATTTTTTTTTTAAATGCACATTAAATTTATGTGTTGAGAAGCAGTTAATTTTATTAAAGCTTTTTTTTTTTATTTTATGCCAGCCTGAATGTAATCTAAATTGTGATTACTTTGTAACAAATAGCATATGTATTCACTTCTGTGAGAGGAATGCCAAATTCATACACTGGGGTCACTTGAGGAATATGTCTTAAGAAAAAGGGCTTTTTTTTTTTTTCTTTTTTCTTTTTTCTTTTTTCTTTTTTTCTTAAGAAGCAAGGGTTACAAAGATTTGGGCCCACAGTTCACTTAGTAAAAGAATGTCAAACATATTTTTAACACAGCTTCTTTGGTTCCAGTAGTTCAAGAATTTTACAGGGAAAAAAGGTAATAACAAAGTTAAAGCCAAGCACTCCCGAGAGAAACCCATTTGCGTCCACTGTCTGTAAAAAGGCAGGAGGGGATTTTGATCCAGCAGAACTGAGAACACAGAGAAGTCCAGTCTCTGCTGTGTGATAAGACCATCCAAAATAACCCAGATATGGTAAGTATTCTGCCCATACCACCACTTTGCTCATACTGTAGAAGTAGTTGGCTCAAACATTTTAAAATGAGATAAATGACACCAAAAATAAAATTAGAAAGCAATCCATCGATTTCCAGATGATTCTCGTTTTGCACCTGGACCACCTCCAATTCCCTGAGAAAAGCATAAATACCAAGTGGATGCACAGCACATGAGATGGGAAAAGTTATTCAGATAAATATAGCTGAGCCAAATAATTTTTTGTGGGTTTTTGGGGGGATTTTTGGGTTTGTTTGGGTTTTTTTATTTGGTTGGTTTTTTGGGGTTTGTTTGTTTGTTTTGGGTTTTTGGTGGGTATTTTTGCTAGTTTTTTGTTGGTTTTTGTTTTGTTTGGGTTTTTGTTTGGGTTTTGTTTGTATATTTTTTGTTTAGTTGGGTTTTTTTGTATTTTTTTTAACCCAAACCAGTCCTGTGAGTAATGACACAAAGGAACAGGGCAGTCCAAGAAGACAGGAGCATCTGGACTGTTTCTTTCTTTGACAGTGCCAATTTTAAACATTCAGGGGACTGTGGCTTCCCTGACCCTTCAAAACACTTATAAACAAACCCAAATGAAATAAATATTAATAGGACAATACTCCCTCCCATTCTTGCTGCTCCTGTTCCTCACACCTTACTGCTGGTTTCACACCTCTACAAAGTTAAGCCAAACCAAGTGTTCATGCAGCACATTGAACAGGATTAAGAAAAAAAATCAACTATAAAATTAGAATTTTCTTCAACTAAATTAATTTCCCCACAGGAAACTGTGACTAAGGACTGCTTAGTCTTATGAAGAGCTCTATTGTTGAACCTCCACACCACAACACATACCTACCCTGTTTTCTAAGGTTTTAGTCAAATTCCCTTTAGTACATTTGAAACCTTACATGTTCCAGTTTTATTTGAAAGTGGTTGTTTCACCACACACAATAATGACTTCAGGTTGCTGCCCTATGCCTCCTTTAGATGGCTTTTATTAGTCCAAGTCCAATTCTACACCAGACACTGCCTCTCTCGCCTTTGCACAGCAGCTACCGAGATCAGCACCAGCCCATCAACCTTCTATCAGCTGGCACCACAAGGGCAGCTGCCTCCACACTTGGATTTAAAAGTCAAAAGGCAAATCAAAATGAAGTTGTAGGGGTCCCCAGAGATCATCTCTTCAGAGTGGGAACACCACAAATTCATTAATTCTTGCAGATTGCTCAATGTCTCCTACGTGTTCACGTAATGAAAACAGTTTGTGTGCATACTTTACCCTGCAGGCAAACCCATAAAGAGCCATCAAAAGGGTCAGAATACTTTACAACCACAAGCCTTACTTCAGAAAGTACCAGTGAAAATTTATTTCAGATAAATATATTGCTGTGTTGACATGGAAAAATGAAGATAAAAAGGGTTTTACGCATCCATTTATTTTGGATTCCTTTCATCATATGCATCTACTGCCTGGTTTCCAGAAATCTCAGGCCCTTTCAAGTGCACTTGTAATCACAGGCTTTCAGATCTTGTTAATTCATTCACATCACTCAAAATTAGAGGGCAGAGTTTTAGGTCTTGATCAGTGTGGCGGGGCCGTGGCACAGCAAAGGCAACACATGCTGCTCAGCTTGGTCTGACATAAGCTAACATCCAAAGCAGTCCCTGCTCTCTGTGCTCACACAGCTGCCTGGAATCTTTGCTGGCAGTGAACACCGAGACTGCAAGACAGAAATATGGCTGAAACTGAAAACGCCTCTACTACATAAACAGATGAAATTCATTGCACTACCAGTTTCCAAATGCGGACCTTGGAGAAAATGCCAGCCAGTGGATGGTTAAGAGTTTCAGCATATTGGGCCAGATTCCAAAACCCTCAAGCCAGTTAGTAATTAACAGACATCTAGGTCCTCCACATGAAAGAAGTCTATTGTTAAAACAGTGACACAAATTTTTCCTTTCCTTTTCCTAGCCAGTCTCTGCCTGTGTTTTAAGATTCCCTTAGGACTATAACAGCCTGTGATTTTAGAACCTCCACTTCTGAAACAGACAATTTGTTAGACTTTTAGTTGCCAAGAATGCAAACATGCTTGCATGAGAGGTAGAACAAAATTCATTTACAGGCTTCTCAGAGACCCATAATCTCCCCTTTCTTTCATTTAATACCTGGGAAAAAATTATCTGAACCACCTGAACAACCCTCTACCATAGCAAAAGAATTACAAAACATGGTAACAAAACGTACTGAGGACCTGTAAATACTCTGGGTCCAATTAGTGAGCAACATACCTACGGGGAATATTAGCCTGTGTCTTCATAGATAATGATGTGTTACAGCAAAATTTCTAAGACAAACCAAAGGCTGCCTCACTAAAACCATTTTGTTGGTAATCAATTTGTAAAGTAGGAATGATCTATGATCTGCATAGAACTGCCTGTTCTCGTTCTGTTACCTTACTGAAGATAGACTTGTGAATAACAAGAGACTATACATAAACCCCAGACACTAACCAATGTAATAAAAGAGAAGATTATGTTAAAGTTGCATTTTGAAAGAATGAAGTGCAGACACTCATCTGTAAGGGAGCAAGTTAAATCACCAAGGATAACGGGAGAATGTGACAGAGCAGGAGCTGGCAGAAGTATTCAAGGGATATGATGACACTTTAAGAAGAGTCAATAAAACAAAGAGCCAAGCCCATCAGAAAAGAACAAAAAGCTCCATCAGAATTTTAAAAAACCATTTTCTGAATGCCCATGGTTTTCCAAAGTCTGTGGCTTTGCAGCTTTGCTGTTTGCTGGAGTTTGACTGGTGTGTCTCTACCTCACCCAAGTCTATCTGGTCATACAAGGAAAAACTCAAATCCCCACTGCATTGAAGGTGAAAAAACCATCCCTGGAGAAGAGAACTAGATCAATTCCTTTGGGACCAGGTTCACCTCCTCCCACTCCAAGGAGCTACTTGCACTCTGCCCGTCTATGCAATTGCTCATTTTAACTCTCGACATATGACCAGACTATGCAATGAAAGCTTAATTCAGCAACTCAGTCAACAGCAGCATTCACCAGGACAGCCAGTCCTTTCTCTGTCCTCCCGTGGGAGCGCTGCCCTCGCCTCTGGGTACAGGTATTCAGTCAGGTCCAGACTGCAGAGCCCAGGAAGCTCACACTGCTGCTGGAGGAGAGCTGCAGGCAGGCTGCTGGGATGTCAGCTCAGCATCGCTTGTGAGCTTCTGCCACCTAACAAGTTTGGGAAGAACTGAGCTTACTGGTTCACTGGCAGAATATGCTGCTATGTTGCAGAAAGCCTATCTTACAGTTTCAGGCTAAAAGCAAAATGAAGGAAACTCAGCATGTTTCAAAAGTGCCTCATTAATTTTATCCTAAGTCTTCAATTAATTTTAAGAAAGATGTATTTACCATTATTTTTGCTTCAGATAGCAAGCAAAATCTATTAGTACTTTCTAATACATTCAGAAAATTCAAAATTTGTCTGAGGCAGGCAGTCATGGTCTTTCAAATTCTTCCAGGGCTCCACCTTCTCTGTATTTGGTTTATTCCATATATACAATTGTAAAGCCACAAGTGTTTCCTAACATTCAATATTCACAAGCACACGTATTAATAATTCAGCAAAGCGAGATTAATCTGCGAGCAGCATCTCATAATGCAGAATATTCTAAGAGCAAGAAAAGCTCGTGTTTAATTTTAAAACGAACAATTACAAGGGAGAAGTCTCTTTTTAAAAACATAATTACAATTTTATTGAGAGATTTGCCAGCACATCAGGAGTGCTGAGCCGCCCTCTTTCCCAGCAATGTTGCTGCGAGGTGTCTCATTCCTGTCTGGGGAGCTGGGCAGTTCTCATGGGCTGAACTTCAGCCACAGATGTAGGCACGACTGTGTAAACATTTAAAAGGTTTTACAGAAGTACAAAGCAGATGCTGGACATCAAAATCTTCTGGAGGATCTTGGGTCAGATGAGAGCTCCAAGTCACGTAAACACAGCATTCCCGTCCCCAGAATAATCACATTTCTACCCCCCGCCACAAGATTGGCAGTATCTACAAGATGGGAAATATTTTCTCAATTATTTAAGCATACCATGTTTATCTCTAGTTTTAAAGTGGTGGCAAAAAAGAAGCAACAAAAAAGCAAAAAAGGCACCCTCCCTTGGTTTTTAAGAGTAATTATATTTTTGCCCCTGTGAAAAACATCTTTACATAGCCACAACACCAACACTCGCAAAAGCAACGCAGCTGAAAATTTTAAAGGGAGATATAAAACTTTATTTTCGCAGAAAATAAAATAAAAGTTTCTCTTTCGAACAGAAAAGGGCAGCGACAATCCAGCGCTCCATACGGCAGCAGCGCAACCAGCAAGGAAGAGGAGCAGAGGCCAGCAGCGATGTTACGCAACTCGCTCACGTACCAAACGCTTTAATTTTCGATACATTAAAGAACAGACGGCAGACGGACACCCGCCCACCCGGCCCGACGCCCCGCGCTCCTCCCGGCCCCAAGATGGCGCCGGCGCCCCCACAGCCCGGGGACAGCCCGCCCCCCGACCCG